TTACAATGACTGATATGCAGGAGTTATTGGCTAAACATTTCAGCAACGAAACTGTTGAAAGTAAATGGGCTGATGTTCTACTTAGTTGGGTTAGTGTGTGTCCATTTTACTAATGTTTTAATGTAAAAATTTTGAATAATATTGTAAGGTGTATCCGTACATACGAAATAAAACACCGTAGTTAAAGAGAATGTCGTTTATTCCTATAACTACGGTGTATGTATGGTGGTGAGTATACGCGTGGTAGTGATTGAACGGCGCAAAATGTTCAGTGGGGAAAACATGTATTGTGCGGTGTTTACACCGTACAAATATAGAACCTTCTAATTTCCGTCTTGTATTGTATTGTATTTTTTTTTATAACATGAGGTGGCAAACGAGCAAGCGGCCAACTGAATCTGCCAAAATGGCGAAGCAAGCGCTGCACATAGACATCCGCAATTGCAGATCCGTTGCCTACCCTTATCCAACAGAGGAGAAGACGCACATAAAGAGGATATTTCCCCTTCCTGCGTATCTCCTCCTTCGTCAAATCTACTTTCCCTTCCCATCCAGTCCTTATAAGAAAAGGGTGGTAAAAAGAAAGGGACTTAAATTAGGCCCCCGGCAACACACTCATCAGACGAAACGCGAAATTGCTTCCACTTGACGCCTGTTTTCTGTGTGGTCGTGGTATTACACCGGGCGTGCCGGCCCTGCAGTGCTAAGATGTTAAAGCGGGCACAGTATATCTTACTGATAACGTAGCTTTCTAATGGTGCATGAATTTTTAAAAGCGGCCCAGTAGTTTTTGAATTACTTTATACATAAATACAAATCTTTCCCTTTGTAACATTAGCATAGAAGTATACATAAATTAAAATAAACTATACATATTGTTCTATCTTTCGTTTCTATATCTGATGGCTTCTATAGTAATTTAACGTCTTTTTTATATTTCAAGATAAACAATTGCGTGAACCCATGTTTGGATGCAAAAGAATTGAATTTACAATGCCTTTTGGATGTTATAAAACAACACGACAGAAGAATGTGTACAAAAGCTAATATAAACGCGTTCAGTGTTGACGACGTGGAAGCCATCTTGAGAAGAAGATATCCGACGTTGACAATAAGGTAATGTAGTAATTAAATTTGGTTAAACAGACATTGAAGGGCTTAAAACCAACATTCTTTTGTGAGATACTTAAAAATTATATTCTAGTGAAATTCTATATCAACATTTACCTCAACTTATGTATAATGTATAGAGGTTTTTTTAGTAAATCAATAATAACACATCCTTATTGATCAATTTCCTTTAGCTCATAATTCTCGATTAGCGCCTGTTGAAAATATATCTGCAACACTTTTACTTATTCATTTTTTAATAATAATACTATTAGTATTGCTTGATGTTCGCGACTTAATTTAGTAAAAATAAAGCCTATGTTTTTAATGGTACAAGAATTATTTAAATCGGTTCAGTAGTTTTTAACCATTTTCAATACATCTTACTATTATTATTCCATAGCGGAAGTTTAGATGGATGGATGTTTGTTAGAGTTTGTAGTCTAAATGGCTTAACGGATCTCTATGAAATTTGGCATAGATGTAAATGATAGGTTGGAAGAACAGATAAGCTACTTTTGTTTTTTTTAATGCCACCCAGACGAAGTCGTAGGCGAAAGCTAATACAAAAATACAAATCTTTCCACTTGTAACATTAGTATAGATTTATTCGTAAAGATACTGTTAATAGTTTAATAATCAAATTAACTTCTTTGTCTATCAGAAATTTGACAAGAGTATACGATTCAAAATACCAATTCAAGAAATTGTACATAGCGATTACGGTATTTTTATTTGAAGCGTGCATGAATGAAACATCCAAAGAGGCGGCCATTGAGATATGCAAACGACTACAAAAACACGAATTACAAATGATATTAAAAGTATGTCAATGTTTGAAAGCTGTTGATATGACGGAATTGAACATCGAAGCATCTATTAAAGGTACCAGAGGTTCCCAAAACTTTATCTACCTTACAAATACGCGGTATAAAGTTAAACTTAGGAATAAACTAAGTATAAGCAAATATTAGTACAAATTTCTCTTATACTCACTTTATTCCTAAGTTTATAAACTTTTAACGGTTTTTAACACCATTCTGACATCATAACTACCGTGAACCTCAGGGTGTCCACAGAAAAGTAGAAACCTACAATTTGCAATGTAGTATTTGTATAAAATGCCTTTTGAAGGCAATTACAAAATTTACCTCACGTTATAATCCCAATATTAAGTGCCCGTCCCACCACTGGCTGATAGACGTTCAGATAGCTTAAAAATAATGCCACTGTTAGGAAGAGTAACGAAATACCGTATTTCCATTACATATTTTACACGTTGGTTGTCAGACAATTTACAATTTGGTGGGACAGGCTCTAGATTCTGTAAATCTAGCCTTTTACTAATATTAGTGACAAGCTGTAGGCCCTTTGACCAAGAATTTTTTTATATCTTTATTTCAGTAACATGTTTTGTAAGTTGTGTTCTTTTTTATAATTTTTTTTGTCAATAAATGGTGTTATAGCTTTTTTTATATTATTATAAATGCGAAAGTTAAGATACACATTTGTTAGACTCGACGGATCACGCTAAAAGACACAGATGTAGAACCTCTAGAAGAAGACATTTTTTCTGATTAAACAGAGGTGACTAATCAATTTACAGCTGCATTCATGGATACATATGGTCCGGCTATAACAAAGAAACTCGAAGGTAAAACGGAACCTAAGAAGGAACCGGATGAAGAAATAGCAGGAGTTGATCCATCTTGCACTAAATGTGGTACTGCCAAGGATGCGGCGAAAACATCGTCACATGAATTAAAAACGTTACTACCACCTAGAGAAGCTAAAGATTCAGAATTAAGAATAAGGTCGAGGATACAAACGGACAGTTGCCCATCTAGTGGATTATTAGAAATGGATGTAAATGAAGATGGTAAATCTATATGTATACTACTATTATAAAGAGGAATGATTTGTATTTTGTATGTATTACAATAACTCAAAAACGACTGGGCCGATTTCAAAAAATCTTTCACCAATAAAAAGGTAATTTATCTGTGAGTAACACAGGCTGTATTTTATTTCTTAATTTCACGCGGACAAAGTCGCGAGCAATCAGATTGTAAGCATGATTCCAATTGTTACTTGCTATCAGTATTCGGTCATATGTTCATTCTGTATTGTATTTTCTACAGCCCCATGCATGAGCTACAGCTTTTCTTCGCAGACATCGATCGGTCCCAGGTTCCTCCCTAAGAAGAAACGTCGGAATTTATCACCTTCTTCCTCCGGAGATGCTGCCAAGTATAAACATTTAATCCTGACGATATGATCATCATCATCATTCTTTATATCCTACTCCCAGAAGGTCGGCGCAACAGCTTTGAAACGCGGAATTGATCTTAATTCAAGTTTGTCTTCTGTGTGGTTGTGGTTTCAGAGGCAGTGCAAACTCTGTCAGCAATTCTGAAGGTGTAAGATGGAACCTATACTTAGCGCTTGGCAGCATGGTCCTTCTGGCAGTGATCATCGTTATCCTCTGCAGCCTTACACTCCTGGACAGAGGTGAGAAAACGAAAGATGACGTCGAACTGCTGGACGAAAACTCTACCAATACTGTTAAACTAAAGAGGCTTGTTAGAGAAGGGTGAGTTTAATTCTACCAAGAATGTAAAAGTCCTGACCAATCTACTATATTTTTCCACTGGTTATATTATACAGAACACTAACTCGAACCCTTTATTACTGACTAGCTGTTCCCGTGCGACTTCATTCGCATGAAGTTATAAATTGTTTTATTGATTACATTTGTCAAATTCAATTGCAAATGTCAAAATGGCATGACACGATGGCAAAGTATGGCAATTTAGCTTTCTTGATGTTGGCAGCAACTTATGGTCTCTTTCCCACATTAGGGGGTTTTATCCAAAATATTTACCCCCTAAGTTTAGCGGCGTGACGTAATTGTAGGGCTTTTTATAAAAAAAGAATTGTTTAAAAATATGCTCTAATTGCTGATACCTTAGGCAACAAAGAAGTGTGTGTTTACGCTTTATTATAATGGTATAGATAGCACACCTTTGACTTAAAAATCAGACAACTGTTTAGTCTCGCTTTGATTCCTTTGACCTCAAATCGAGCGCACATTACTCGATATTTAGTTGTGCAACTAAACAGTTGAAGGTGCAAAACAATCGACAATCGCACAACAGTCGTGTGTTAGTTTAGTCAAAGGTTTAAACAAGGAAAAAACCTACCAGCTATTAGGGAAGAATACAACATTCGTCAAAATCACAAACCATAAAAACCCATTACATAAAGACTTCCTGAGTCAACAGCAAATATTGTGAATGTAAAATAATACAAATATCAAATTGCAAGCAAAAAAACAACTACAAAATGGTTAGACATTTCCGTTTGGGAATTCCGTATAGCCAAAACCATTGTCACAAGAATAATTTTATTTTTGTCATTTATTATGACAACCACAATATAGCCTTGATTATAACTTTGCATTTATAAAACTCAAATAAAGCAGCCATTTATGGAACTAAATAGAACTACAACTAACTACACTAAGATCTATCCAAAAATAATTTAATTTTTGTTGTTTAAAGAGGCAGTATAATAATGAATCGATAAATAAACAACAGATGAAAACCTAGGAGCCTGTCTCAACACTGACAGATAAGGCTAACAGTGGTAGTGCCCGCTTTAACATCTTAGCACTGCAGGGCTGGCACGCCCCCAGTAATACCACGACCACACAGAAAACAGGCGTGAAATGGAAGTAATTCCGTGTTTCGTCTGATGAGTGTGGTGCCGGAGGCCTAATTAAAGTCCCTTTCTCTTTACCACCCTTTTCTTATAAGGAGAGGATGGGAATGGGAAGTGGATTTGATGAAGGAGGAGATACATAGGAAGGGGAAATATCCTCTTTATGTGCGTCTCCTCCTCTGTCGGATAAGGGTAGGCAACGCATCTGCAATTGCGGATGTCTATCGGCAGCGGTCGCTTCGCCATTTTGGCGGATTCAGGTGGCCGCTTGCTCGTTTGCCACCTTATGTTATAAAAAAAAGGGACAAAACCTGATTTTTCCATTTTACACGTTGGATTGTTATCAAATAATTTACAATTTGGTGGGACAGGCCCTTAATCTTACATCCATCTTAATCTAAATAAGATTGATAAAAATTTCCTTACTTACTTTCAAAATCGTTTAATGGATAATGCAATAGGACTAAGAGCCTGTCCCACCACTGGCTGATACAGGCTCAGATAGCTTAATGACGTCACTGTCAGATAAGGGAACAAAATCTGATATTTCCATTACATGTTTTATACATCTGATTGTTATCAGACAATTTACAAGAATTGTGGGACAGGCCCTAAATAATTTTATTTCTGTATATTTTTTTTGTAATGTCATAAAAATTACTTTAAAGTTCTATTATAAAAAAGTCTGCATTTGGAGGAGGCTTTTACCCTAAACGTCCATACTTCCTACACAATGTATACATATTATTTTGTACGTTTATAAGTTATTTTCTGTATGGAATGAATAAAACTAATAAATAAATAAAATGTTTTCAGATTACCAGTTGTTGATATACAGTGGCAATGCAAGAATAACTTCTGTCTCAAATCAACTCTCAGTATTAACTCGACAATGTACAAATCTTTGAGTCGTTGCATACTTCTATGTATGGGTCCACAATTATGGCCGCATCCAATCGGCTACACGCAATACAGCAAAGAGATTATGGCTCTTAGTACTATGAATTTAGAATACAAATTCCAATCAGTACCCTCAGATATAGTACACAATTATTTAGCGGGTGCGTTCAAATTATTTCTCAAAAACGTATTCAAGTTGGAAAAACGAAAAAAATCGAACATAACAGAGATCGATCTTCCTATTAGAAAGATCAGTATCGAAATAGATGTAGAAAATGATCCGGATCCCAACTTAAGATTGGACACAGACGAATCTTATACTATAAAAATTGATACAATCGGAAATCGGGTCGTGTTTAAAATATCAGGGTATTCATTCTGCGGAGTGAGACATGGTTTAGAAACGACAAGCCAGTTAATATTACTAGATCAAGTTACTGGCTATCTAATAACTCTATCCAATTTGACGATTAAAGACAGACCCTGTTACAAATACAGAGGTTTAATGTTGGATACTGGACGGAATTACATTGCTGTATCAGATATTATGAGAACAATAGACGGTATGGCAAGTTGTAAATTAAATACATTCCATTGGAGAATATCTAGTGAAACCAGCTTTCCGTTATACTTAACTAAATTACCTTATCTATCAGATTATGGCGCATACGATAGGTCAATGATTTATACTAAAATTGACGTGAAAAGTATTGTAAGAAAGGCAGCGTTAAGGGGTATAAGAGTCCTTCTAGAAGTTGCCGCGCCTGGACCGGTTGGTAGAGCATGGTCGTGGTTCCCCCAATCGACTTGTCCTTTAAAAACTAATAATTACACTTGTCAGAATATATTATGCACTAGATTGTTAATGGATAAATCAGTTTTTGATACGTTACAAATACTTTACGCTGAGATTTTAGATATGACAGGTGTAAATGATGTCTTTCACCTCAGCGATGGAATGTTTTCTATAACAAATTGCTATGAATTAATCAGTGATAGAGATGGTTTTTTAAATAACGCATTGGATCGTTTGAAATTAGCTAACAAAGGTGTTTTACCCCAGTTACCGATAGTATGGTATACATCACATTTAATGAAGGATTCTGAAGCTAGAAACTGGGAAAGAATGGGAGTTCAGCTGACGGATTGGGAACCGAATCCTGGAGAACACTATTTGGGTAAATTCCGTGTGATACATTCCACTAATTGGGATTTGTCTTGCAAGATTGTTAAACAAAGATGTGTTAAGTACAGGTAAATTCTTAAACTAATACTATTAAAATAAAACAAACGAAGTTCATTTATATTTTATTATTTTAAAATTAGCTATTGACTCCCCCCTCCATCCACTTTAAACGCTAAATTAGAACAAAACTTATAAGTAAGTAGACGATGATTCCTGTTAAGCGGTTTTTTGAGATACCTTTTAACAAAAAATCATCTAAACTTTCGTTTTCATAACATTAGGAATATATTATTTAAAAATTGTTAATCAATGCCTTTCCACTTAAATTTGAATTGATGTTTTTCACAGATCTTGGCAAGAAATGTACTCCTGGAAGATTTGGCGTAATGTTGAATCATTTAGCACTGAAGGGGGCGAGGCAATACTTTGGACTGATCTTGTTAATGAAGGTAAAATATAAGACACGGAAATAATTAAAAAATATTTATCTTTGATATTTCTAATATTTAAAAATTAATAAGATTAAGATACCTCACTTCTATTGTAATGATAATTAACTTTCGTACTTTTAATATTTTTAATTGCAGGTAATATTGACGCTTTACTATGGCCCCGAGCGACCGCAGTTGCCGAAAGACTCTGGTCAGACACTATAGCCAATTCTACCGCCAATAAATATGTTTACATGCGATTGGATAGGCAAAGGTACCATTAAAACATATTGGTAATATAAATTAACTGATTTTTTTTGTTAACTTAATGTGAAAGTTGTGTATAATTTGTTAAAAATGAGAAAACGTTAAAGCGCCTGAAGATTTTAATTTGCAAAAATTCTATTCCTAATATTAGATATTTATTTCCAGATGGCGGATGCTGTTACGCGGAATACGAGCGCAGCCTATTTGGCCGGCGTGGTGCAGTTTCAACCCAAGCATTTGTTTAGCTAAAATACGCAAATAAGAAAACCTTGTAAAAAAACTGTGATTTGTTTTCATTTTACGTTAATTTGAAGTCCAATGCAAATTCAAAACTATTGAAGTACAAAATAATTGAATAGAAGATTTTCCTTTTACTGCACAACTATTAACGGCAATTAGTAAATCATAGTTAAAAAGAACACATAAACAATTAGATTTTTATAAACTCGGCGTGAAATCGCGGGCAGAGTTTATCTTACTAATGTTTGTTAGAGTTTGTAACCTAAAATGAACGCATCTCGATGAAATTTGGCATAGATGTAGAACATAATTTGGACTCATAGGTTACTTTTTTTTAATTCAACTCGAGAGTCTTTTGAAAGCTACCGAAATAAAACTAAGTAATCATAACACCAAAATTTAATAATATAAAAACAATTAACTGAACGATGGTAGATCACAATGTTTCTTTTTAACATGAAATCTTAACGAAGTATTATATTTTGTCGCAAACGGACAAACTTCACATTTAAATTTCTTCTCTGTTGAATGTTTATATTTATGCTGTACCAAATTTGCAGGTAAAATTGTTGCATAATCACATTTGTCACATGCATATTTCTTTTTACCTGTCATATGTGCTTCTTCGTGGTATTTTAAAATGTATTTATTCATACTTTGAAATGAACATTTAGAACATTGTAATTTAAGACCTTGTTCTGTATGTTTCTTCTTATGTTTTAACATCGCTACTTCATAGAATGTTTTATACCTACATCCTTCCATTTCACAGTTCAATGTTGTCGCATTTTTGTGTCTTAACGTATGTTGTGTTAAGCTTCCTCGGGATAATGTTTTAAATTCACAATATTTACATTGCAATGTTGTTAGTTTTGTATGTTTGTCTTTCATATGTTTTTGTAGTATATTATCCGGGACTATCTGACCGCAAACTTGACACTGTGTATCTTTAACTATTAGATGATTTTGTGTAAAATGTAACCTAAGTAATTCCCAAGTTAAAAATGATTCAGTACATTTCGAGCATTGAAATGATTCTTTTATATCCATTTCTTCTTTTTTTATTACTATATCATTTATATTTGTTTGTCCGTGTGCTGTGTTTACATGTTTTGATAATTCCAATTCATCTATAAATGTTTCCGGACAATGCTCGCAGTGTTGTAACTGGTTGTTTTTAATATTTTTCACTGGATGTTTAAATAAAATATGACGTCGATAGCTTTCTTTGCATTTGAATATTTTACCGCAATATATACATGTGTATGAAGCTTTTAAATGTACTTTCATTAAATGAGGTTTCAATTGCCTTTTGTCATGGAATCCTGCGTTACATATGTGACAGAAAATTGTTTTCGGCAAATCAATTTGGTGGACACATCGTAAATGTTTACCCAAACCCGCTTTAGAAGCAAATATTAAACCACAAATCGAACATTCTCTGATCATTTTAATATGTGTGTGATTTAAATATAATTCTCTCGTATCGAATTGTTTATTGCACACTTCACAATACGATCCTTTGTCATGTTTTCTTCTAATATGACGTTTTAAACTCTCTATTTTATCATATGATAGATTACAAAATCTACATTTCAATCTGAAATCATCTTTTAAAGCATTATGCTTCCTTCTCATGTGTAATTTAAGATAATTTAATGAAGAAAACACTAAAGGACATTCTTTACAAGATATTTCACCGGTTTCTTCATTTTTTGAATTTTCTAATAAATCTTTATCATTTTTATCAACATCTTCAACTATATGATGCTTCCTTTGTACATGTCTCGCATAAGTTTCACGTTTAGTGAACGCTTTTGGACAAAACGGACAATTATACCACTGTTCTATAACAGGTTTGTTCTCCACGTTATGTTTCCTCCGCATATGCACGATCAAACTTCTATACTTTTCATAAGAAAGTCCACAATCTTTGCACGCATATTGAAAAGAATCTTCAAAAGAGCCGTGTTTTCTACGCATATGCATACGTAATCTTGTCATCCCTTTAAATACAAGAGCGCATATATCACATGTTCTTTCTTCTCGGTCAACAGGTAATGAATTTGGGCCATGTTTCCTCCTTATATGAGCGATTAAACTACCTTTCTGGTCGTAAGCCATTCCACAACTCTCACATACATGTTCAAATGCTCTTCGGAATAATTTGTGTTTCCTCTTTTGATGCATTTTCAATGTTCTAATAGATTGAAACACTAGATGACATATTTTACACATGTGTGTCTGTCCTAATATCTTTGTCTCACTTGGTTGGTTGTAATTAAACACTGATTTGTCACTGACAACACTTTCGAATGTCAGAATAACCGCTTCGTGGTTCTGTTGTTCCAATCTGACTGCGGGTTCCTGACTATCATCACTTTGTACACCTTCAAGCATGAGTCCATTGTCATTGGTGAACTGGAAAATAGAAAAAGTACTGAAGTTACAATAGAAATCTAAAAGTAAATGCATCGTGGAAAGTACCTGAATTATTACTGAAACTCTAAACACTGGAGTGTTCGTAAATTTTCGTGCATTGGTCAAATTTAATCTACAGTATGGATTTTACTTATTTTTTAAAATCTAAATGACTTTACCTCTTTCAAAAATCATCGAACATAAATTTCAATGCTTTCTGTTTGTATTAAGTTTCTGTATTAGTAATGCTCTTTGTTCATGTTTTAAGAAACCTAATCCAAGAAATTGGTAAAATGACACTAAATTACAATAATCCGTTGCTGCCTTACAAATAAACATGGATATATTGTGTAAAAGGTGACATGATCAAAAAGGGAGTGATGACTGAGATGACGTATGATAGAGTTATGTGGAGGACAAAAACCTGTTGCGCCACTACGGGAGTCAGATAAGGAGATGATGATGATGATGAGCTTTACAAATAAACTTAAGTAAATAAACTTAAAAAATGTATACTAATATTTGCTTATACTCAATTTATTCCTAAGTTTCTAATTGTAAGTAAATATTGTATTTAGTTGTAAGACTGCAAGTGTATTAGGTTTGCTTTGAAACGGAGAGGAAGGCCAAAACTTTGGTCTTAGTTTCAGATGAAATACATTTCATCAGATAGTATTGATTTTCTATTTATTTGCTTACATCTTACTTAAGATACGAAATAAGTATATTAGAGGAAGTTTGAGAGTAGCCCCAGTAGTCGAGATAGTAAGGAGTAAAAGGTTAGCATGGTATGGGTATGTTATGAGGAGGAATCGCATGTTACAAGATGACGTATGATAGTTATGTTGAGGACAAAAACCTGTTGCGCTACTACGGGAGTTGGATAAGGAGAAAGATGATTTATCCACTTACATCGTTGAAATCCAATTCAACTTCTATATTCTCCACTTTAATATTAACCTCAGGATCAAATGTTATTTCTATTGGTTCATTAGTTACTTCACCTAAATCTTTAAACGGATCCTCTTGGTTCCGCTTCTTTTTTTTCTTTTTCCTTTTTGGTTTTAACTCATATGACATTGGCTCATCTGGTAAAAAAGATGTAGGGTCCTGTCTTTTCACTTTTACATCTTCAACATTATTTATTTCAGACATTATATTTATAATTAATGTTATCTGGAAAAAAACGTGAATTATATCAATTATTTATACTTAATATAATAAAGCATAAACAAACACACTAGTTTGTGGCATATTTTTGAATAATTATTTTATTATTAAAAAAACCCACACTTATGACTCTTCAGGCTATAAATTTTTACGCTAATAGACTTAGGGGGTAAATAAATTGGAAAATGTAAGAAAGGGAAGTACAAGCTGCCAACATTAAAGAAGCAATGTTGTTATGGTAATTTTGACATTTGCAATTGGGAAGTTGACAAATGTAAACAATAAAATAAAGTTTTTATAATTCCATGTGGGTGGAGCCACATAGGAACAGCTAGTCTGTTATAAAGAGGAAAGATTTTCATTATTTTATTTTTGTCAAAAACTACAGGGTGGATTTTAAAAATCATTTTTTCATTAAAAAGCTACATCATCACTTATACAAAGGCTTGATATTCGTTTGAGAATATTTAACACAAAGTGTTATAGAAATATATTGAAATACAACTTTCAATATATTAACTTCTTGCCATTGTAACATTAGCAAATTCAAATAGTTTATGATTGCTCTATTTAGGAACATCATGATGATAACAGTAAGCAAAATGAACTTATCAAAACTACGACATACACGTCATTTTAGTCATAAAACTTACCTACTTATCGAAAATAAATCCTAACACCAAAATTCACAACATATTTATTGTATGACTATATAAATAATATGTAAGCTAACACTTAAGTAAACCAATCATGGCAAGTCTATCACAGCGCGTGTCGCACTCTAAAATAATCAATAATTTCATAATATAATTATCATATCATATTTTATATCCAATATGGAACTTGGATTTATTGACGTTTTCGGATTGACATAACAAAAGTGTTGCTATAACAATTTTTTTAACTGAAAACATCCCTATAGCAGCACCACACACATTTTTACTAAAAAATAAAAATGTTTAACTTTGTTATTTAATTTTAAACATAAAATCGCATTATTTCATTGTTTTTACATGTACCAATGTTTTTTAACGCAAAATACAAAATTCATAATTTATCTTTACAAACAGTAAAATGTTCTCGTTTGTTTTTTTTATTTATCAAATGTCATTTGTCAAATAAAAAGATATAACCTATAAAATAAGAATAAAAATAATTGTAATGGCTATAATATTTATTATTTAGAAAAGACAATGCTTCGGACTATTAAATTATGTGTAGCAATTAAGACAACAAGATTTATGCAATCCCCGTTAACTTATAACGTGAGACGAATTCATATGACTCCAGGTAAAAGTTTCTTTTGACAAACTTAAGTTTTTTCTTGATATTTTTCTTAAAGAATTCTTGGTGCAGGCTTAAGACATGGAGAATATGAATGGCAGGATCCTAAATCAGAAGATGAAGTGTATGTATTTGTAACAATCTTTGTCTATTTACGTTTTAATTGCTGGACATGTCATTTCCTAAAACTTTTGAAATTTTATGTTTTAGTGTTAATATCACATATGTTGATAAAGATGGGAAAAAGACAAAAGTAAGGGGTAAAGTTGGTGATAATGTTCTTTATTTGGCTCATCGATATGGCATTGAAATGGAAGGTAAGATTCAATAATTATATTCATGGGTTAAAAATCTTGGTAACAGATGATTACATCAGTAGGGAATAATATGTAGGATTTAGAAAATCTCATATATCCTGACATTCCAATGAGGATAAAATATGCATAAAATCTTATTAAAATGTCCCAAATTAGTTTTTTCTGATGAATGAGATTTAACTATGAATAAAAGTTATACATTGTCTATGGTCTAATCAAATCATTCACTTATTCTTTTCAGGTGCATGTGAGGCGTCTCTAGCATGTACAACATGTCATGTTTATGTAAAACAAGATTATTTTGACAAATTGCCCATGTCTGAAGAGAAAGAGGATGACTTATTGGATATGGCGCCATTTCTTAAAGAAAATTCTAGATTAGGTCTGTAGTTAGTAAAGAATCTATACATAAAACACATACAATGTTATTGGTATTAGATGAAGAAATAACCAGAGACAATTTTTCTTTTTTTACAGGTTGCCAGATTGTATTGACAAAAGATTTAGAAGGTATGGAGTTGCGGTTACCAAAAGCAACAAGGAATTTCTATGTAGATGGACACAAACCTGCACCTCATTAGCTGTGATGAAATATTTGTAGTATAAAATGTAGCATAATATGATATAAAAAGTGAAATATTACTGTAATGCTTTACAATTGTAAAGAAATAATTATGTAAGCATCCAGTTGTATCTAAGAACAAAATACATTGTATTTTTAAATTTAAGTGTTGATTATTAAAGGAGAGGTAAAAATACAGATTATAATGATAATTTTATTGAAAAAACTTTATTGTAATCACAACGGAAATCTGGATTTACATCTTTTTAATGCGTCTTATAATCAGTGGAGTACAATACTATAACTAAATGTTAAAAACCTTACAAAGCATTATTTCTGCTACCAACCCTAACATTTTTACTGTCATAGCTGTCTTATCAGGAAATTTATTAAATTTTTATGCAGAGGTTATTTCCAATGTTTATTTAAAACGTTGAATGTACCATTTTTTCAAAAAGAAATACAGTCGTTCGAAATATTGCGGTAACAGATTACTTTGTGTTTTATTTAATCTGTTAAAATTTATGGTTTCATTCGTTCTTAGCTTGTCTATGCGCAACTACGCGCCGCGTTGCCAACTCCGTTCGTTCAAGATATTGCAATTCATTCGTTCAATCAGTCTGGCCGCGACTATTCTAGAGGAAGGATTACTCGATCTCGTCTTATTTAAACGCGTTACGGTGTGTTTTGTGTTTTGTATTGTGGTGTATCATGGCTTACAACGGTAGTAGTGGCAAGAGACTGTGCACTGGAACCGACGTAGACGTGGAAAGGGTGAGTTACGATTTGTACCCAACTGACGTACACTTACATGCACTCTATCGAAAATGGCCGTGTTTGGAAACTGTCTTCATGTTTTCCTTTTTAAAACACTCAACTATACAAAGTCCAATGCCGTTTTATAGTTGTATAAAAACAACAAAAAAGCAGATAACAGTATTACAAAGTCCGTTAGTATTCTTGTCACCTACACGTTCTTTTGTTGATCTCTTAAAGTTTGAGGTTACTATATTGACAGGTGACAAATAAATTGTGTATATTATTGTATTGCTTGGGCTGTGTTAGTTTTTAGGCCGCTCCACGACTAAAGTACGAAAATAACTAAGATGCCCGCGTTTGTCAATTATTGTGATTGATACGACTCGGTCATTAGATGCGTGTGACGGGCGGGAGATTTTCAATTCTTGTACAAAATACTTCGTGAAGATTTTTTTTTGCTATTGAATGTTAAATGTCTGTAAAATGATTACCTTGGCCTGTTTTAATGTTATTCCATGTAAAGTATGTGTTGATAAAACTTATTCTTTCAATTGTTTACTTCACAATGTCAATTGCGTCTCGTTTCTTATCAACGCCGTTAACATATTAAAACTTTTTATTTTATATAATATTGTTACTGCAAATTGTGGCATAAATCGGTAGGACAAGATGGGTTAAGATAGATTATAACATATCTCCAAAACAACTCTTTGGATCTTGACATTTGTCTCAAATGTAGAACAGTCTAGTAGAACCCATAGATTATTGTTTTTTAATTCCACATGGATGCATAAGATATTAGATTCTTACTGGCTTTTGGCTGATCTTGTTTTGTTAGTAATCTATTGTTAAATAACCAAATGGACAGTAAAATGACTTTAAACAGTATTATTGACTTACTAAATTATAGGAATGTGATTTAAATAAGATATATTTAACTACCCTACAAATTTAAATTAAATGTGGTATAGCAACATAATGTATTTAAGATTATATCAAATGACTTAACTTCCTTTATGTTTTAATATGAGTAAATTAAACTCTAATTAAATTCAAAACTGAAAAACACTACAAAGTTTAGTTGTCTTATAAAGGACTTATAATGTTGCAAATAAAAATAAAAAAAAGAGTACTTTGCAACACCTGGAGAGGCCTAAGTCTGGCATTTATGTGTAGAAATGTGAAAGATTTAGTAAATGTTCCTCGAATTCATTGAAATTTGTTGTACTGTTTTGGACATGCATAGTACCAGCCATAAAACCTTTTACATATACATTTTTTTTAAAACACCGTAGCAAACAAGCAACAGGCCACTTGAATATGCTACACTATGATACAATACAAAATAATACATTATTAGTATTATAAGTTAAGTATTTATTGAATTGAAAATTAAAACTAAGTAAGATCTTGGTGACTTGTTTATCATGTTAACTGACTCTTGTATTCAGATATAGTTATTGTAATATTCTGCTTCTGAAATACTAGTTCAGTTCAGTTTTTTGTTTATGGAACTCCTTTAACGGTCTAAAATACTGTCAAAATTTTGTTATATCTGTCTTGTCAAGTTTAATGAAAGGTGTGAAGATATGTTTTAGCACAAGTCGGACTTCCTCTGTCAAAGATTGAAAAATGTCAGATGTAATACTTGATAAATAAATACAAAAAATAATGACTTATGTTTTTACTTGAACCACATGTAGAATAACTAAACTGGTGACCTAAGGGGAGAGGGACTAGATCAGCCCCCCTTTGATCCTCGACTACATACAATATCGCGACACCCTTTGTTAATATGCCCTTGTCAAATTCCATGGCCAAACATCCGTGGCATATTTAACTTCAAAGGATATCGTAATGTATGAAACGATCGATAAATTTACAAATACCCACAATCCGCGCATTTAATTTACCGAAACAAAGCGTATAAGACATTTATAGCCGAAACTCAGCGTAATCCTAACGAAAGAGATTACCGATTCAAAGATGTGGTCTTTGGACCAAATGTTACGTTTAACTCGAAAAGTTGACGGTTTATTTGACGGTTTATCGGTTTTATATCCCGAGTTTGGGGAACCGGTAATATTTGTCGCTCGTTTAATGATTTGTAGGTATCAAAGTTTGCGTGAATTGAACTTAGGAAGTATTCAATGTGGAGTTGAAATAAAATGCGTAAGATTTTAAAATTGATGGTTTTGTATAATAGTGATGAGATTTTTTTGTATGGATTTATTTTAGACTATCTGTTGCTCGTGACTTGGTCCGCGTGGAATTAAAAAACAATACAAAATATAGTCTATGTTACTGCTGGGTACAGCTATGATAATAAAAGGAATTATCCTGCAGTAACTTAACGGATAATAAAGTTATAGTTAAGTTGTTTCGCTGCTGACGTGAGAATAAACTTGCTTATTGCACTGAAAACGTATCTCGTTAATAACTATAACTTGAAGATGTTTGTAGGAAAAGTTTTAAGACTTGAGGGCTTAGTGTGTTTTTTATTTTATCGACTTAGCAAAAGCCGTTTTTAGTAATCGAGAGATTTTACACCTAGAACGAATCTATATAGATATGCCAATGGTATCTTACTTACTTACTAATATAAATACGAATGTTTCGATGGATGGATGTTAGATTTTGCCGCATAAACTCCTGAACAGATCTCGATGAAATTTGGTATAGATGTAGAGGATAGTCTGTAAGAAAGAGTAGACTACTCGTTTTTTTTTTTGTTTTTTTTTTTAATTCTATGCTGATCGGGCGAAAGCTAGTTTATAAATAAAGCCACTTATTAGAAATTGTCTAAGTTCGCCTTAAAAGGTGAACAGATCAGTCAAAATAAACTAATGAAAAGAAATGATGTAGCTTGTTTAATAAATATAAATCTTAAAGTAATTAGATTTAACGCTCGTTTTTGAATAAAACAGAACACGTGATGTTATTTTTCACACTACAAGTAAGTGTAAAATTGTAATATTGGTTCACGTGTCTATAAATTTTGGTTGCTAATAGAATAGCTATCAGCAGCCAAAATTTATAGATACAACCAATTTAAATTTTTCATGATATAGGTGAAGTGTTGAAACTTTTACAACGGGGGAGGTTAAAATTCCCATTTGTTACGTTTACTATTCTAAATTTTGCAATAAGAATTGAAGTTAGTTATGAGTGTAACACCGGTAGAGATAGACGTAGAAAGAGATGGATTGCGTAAAAGGTGACACGATCGAGAAAGTGATGACTGAGATGACGTATGATAGTTATGTGGAGGACACAACCTTATTGTGCTGACCCTACGGGAGTAGGGTAAGAAGATGATGATGATTTGACACCAGGTAGCTCTAGTGAGATGTGAAAAATGCTTTAAGTGCAGTGTCAACTATGCTCTTTGCTATGCATATCTGAATTCACTCCTTTCTTACGATTTAACAAATTAGATTTAACTCTTTTATCATCACCAGTTCACTGTATTTCCCCACCGAGGGTCTCGGAGCCTAACCTAAGTTAAGGTGACTAGGCCATAGTCAACCACGCTGGCCCAATGTGGTTTGGTTGTCTTCACACATATCTTTGAATTTCATAGCTGATATGTGCAGGCATCACGATGTTTTCCTTCACCGTAAGAAAGTCGGGTAAATTATGTACATATGAAAATTCGAGAAATCGAAAATCACATGGGTACGGCGGGATTCGAACTCAAGACCTGTTACAAGTCAAGTGCTTAAACCACCGAGACACCGAAGCCCTAACTCTTGTCTACTTCCATTATTTAAACAATGAGAGTATTACTTCCATCAAACGGTTCTAAATAATCGCGTCCGCGAAAATGACGTATCTGAAAATTTTCACCAACCGTCAATACGTCGTCGTATCTGACATTTCCGCGTGAATCACGCGCATTGCGGCCCTTTGCCAAATGGGCGTGTCTCCGCCTACTGCCAGTGCAGCTATTGGTTATCTATGTAATAGAAAATTTACAGTTACGCCTTTATATTAGGTATGTGAACGTGGTACTCGATTTGCAAAGGGCATAATAATTGAGTCACTCAGTGTTATTTAAATTGTAGGTAGGAATCCAATTGGTTGGACTTACGTTTAAAATTCCTTTTAGAATTAACTTGAACATTTAATACTGATCCATAGATGTGTGTCAATCAGCGGGACCAGCTCAAAAGTACATCATTTGAACAGTTGAGCTACGGCTCAACTAAAGTCAACTCAATTATGATTTGATGACTTGTAGTTTGCAGTTCGAATCACAAATCATAACAGATACAGATTTAGTTGAGCTGCAAGCCGGTTCACTGATCTGCTCCACTCCTGTGGAACGTCAGCTGATCTGTAGATCAATTTTAGTTGGATTACCCATGACTGATTCTTAAACTTTTTTAAACGATCGACAGATGT